AACAAAATCCCATTACGACAACTCTGCTATTAATATATTGTAGCCACATCTTCATACTTCTTTCTTGAGCACTTTATTATGTCACAGTTACATGAGGTTATTATGTCTTTGAACCACTCTATAAACACTACTTGCAGTATTAGCTCTTTTTTGGTGTCTCTGCACCTTCTAAAAGCCCCAAATGCAAAGTAATGCAAATGGCACAAGCAGAGAAACGCTGTATGCTGTAAACTGAGGGAGCAAAGTGACTGACTGAGGCAGGAAATACAGTATAAACACAACGACTGGCAGGAGAATCTGCTCCCACTGAACTTCTTTGCTTTTACATGTGTCACCTTTCCTACACTCTAATACTGGCCCACGGTTCAGGAAACATGAGAAAATAGGAACAAGGAGATAGCATTAGCAAGCGCCAGCACTCACACTCACTAACACATGCATGCCAACACACACTGTACTTACACACATGCCCATCTACAAACACACACGCACACACCATCATGGTAAATTACCTCCTCAGCTCCATAGGAGGCTGCAATTTGAGGGTGTCAAAGTCAAGGTGCAACATGAGACTGCCATTAATAATAGCCACGGCACTGCCCCTGCTGCTGCTAATGAATGCAACACATTAACACACATGTAACCTCACGTCGCACAACAACCCACCCCCAGACATACACACACACTTGATTCACTAACGTAAAAACAAAACATAAAACTGAAGACGTTTTGCACGGAGGTAGTTATAGCGCACTTACTCGTGCACCACCACACACACCCCACACTTCAAATTGTCAGACTGCAGAAGCTTTAAGAGCACAATGTTTAAAACATGGAAATGCTGTTAGGGCATGGTGTTAGCCTATACTTCTGGATTAGCATGTGTGCTGAGGGCTGGTGGGGGAGGAGAGGGGGAGAAAGGAGATGAGAGCCAAGGCTTTAAGCAATACTAATGCTCAGCTGAGATGAGCAGTCTGACAACAAGGCTACAAGCCTTGTGAATAAACGATGAGCGCACAAGCCAGAGGGCAGAGGTAGTAGTTATTTCGGCATCATGATGGCACCGTCCTCTCTGCGAACACTCACACACACAAGTATACATGTTCATGCACGCAGACAGGAAAACATGGACACACACTCCATGTTGACCTTCTACTGTACTCTGCCCCTCTGTACTGTTTGGTAAGGACAGCACTGGAGGTCTGCCAGAGCAGAGACCGCTTCATCCATGCCCACCTGGTGTGTGCACAAACACACACACTCACACACACACACACACACAGACACACACTCAGTAGACAGAGCTGGGGAGTCTGCCAAGCAGAGGAAGCCTTATGTCAATCAAGTGTCAGGACAACCGGGGGAGAAGGATATCAGGCCATGGGTGAGACACTATAAATAACCCGGCCCACCTTGGGAGTCAGGGTCACACACACTAGCATATACATAAATGCATGACAGAGAGGCAACAAGATACCAAAAAAATCCTCTAAAAAAATCTGAGTCCAATCTAAAAGTCTATTTTCTAATTACCAAGAGTCAGATTTGTAAGCACAGGTTTCGGCTGAAGGTAATGCCTGCATTGTTTCACAAGTGTCACTAAATCTGAGCAACATCTTCATTTGCTTCTTCAAAGCAGTTCACTCACACACAACTCACACACAAATGTGTTAGTTTGTAGTCTTTGCATGCATGCTGCGAGTGAGAGCGATGCAAAATCCTTTGGATTTGACGTGGGAGTGAAGTGACCCCGACTTCTAAGTAACATCAAACTACTTTGCACAGTGTTCTGTGATCAGCTTTTTTTATTTGTCTAAAAACTTAAACTAGAAGCCCCATACTGATGTTTTATTTTCCTCCACTGGAGGCTGGGTGATTTTAAATTTGCATGTGCTAATCAGTGATTTTAATCCAGTCAGGAGATTATATGGCTGTGATTCCCACCTCCTTACTCAGGTAGTAATTACAGTCCCAAGTACATAGTTTTCAGCAAAACTGTTGGTCTTCCTTGTGATTACCTCTAAGTCTTAACACATGAAGACGTATTGGGTTTCATTACATATTTTCTCCCCTTGAAATACTCTTGCCTAGTATAACCTGCCTCCTGCAATTTGGCACTGGCTCAAAAACTGTCTGTTTCAATGACTTTGCTTACCGAGAAACATGTAGAATACTTGATTATCCACTTCCTTGACTATTAGCTCTTTTCATATGAAGCTATAAAAACAAACAACAGGTGTGGGTATGTCCTGTTAGAGTATACTGATTAAGAACTGGCAAACACCTGCTGCCTTTTTTCAAGTGTTCAGAAACCAAAACAGCTGGAGAAAACTGGGTTCCAACTTCAAGATGAACATGAAAAACAATATCAGATTTTTTTTTTTTTTTTTTTTTGCACCCACAAGTATGTCCATGCACTCTCAAATCTTGACCTGAGTCATCTGTCTTGTACTTGGTCAGTAGTTTGGTCATTTCTAAATGTATTTTTACTGACAAATATTCCAGATGTATATAAATGAATAGATGCTAATTTTGATATCTATCTATTGGAAGAGCCTGCACACTATCCAGACCAATTCATGTTTTGAGACAATGCATAACGTTTGATTTGTTTGACTGAGGGTAGGATAAGATAGGATAAGAAAGGACAGGATAGGATAGGAAAGTAGAGGACAGGGTAGGAAATTATAGGATAGGACAGAGGGATGTCATACGCTGTAAAGCCCTGTGAGGCAAATTGTGATTTGTGATATTGGGCTTTATAAATAAAATTGATTGATTGATTGATTGATTGATTGACAGGACAGAAAAGGACAGGATAGGATAGGAGAGGAGAGAAGAGGAAAGGACTGGTAAGGATAGGACAGGATGGAATTGGACAGGACAGGACAGGAAAGGAAAGGAGAAGTTCAGTTTAGATAGGAAAGATAGGATGGGAGGAAAGGTTAGGTAATGATAGGGTAGGATATTATAGGATAGGATAGGATGGGACGGGACTGGACAGGATAGGATAGGATGGGAAAGGATAGAAAATGATAGGAGAGGACAGGATAGGAAAGGAGAAGTTTGGTTTAGATAGGAAAGATAAGATAGGAGAGGGGAGGAAAGGTTAGCTAAGGACAGGATAAGATATTATAGGATAGGGTAGGATGGAACGGGACCGGACGGGACAGGACAGGATAGGATGGGATAGGATGGAAAATGATAGGATAGGACAGGATAGGAAAGGAGAAGTTTGGTTTAGATAGGAAAGATAGGATGGGAGAGGGGAGGAAAGGTTAGCTAAGGATAGGATAAGATATTATAGGATAGGGTAGGATGGGAGAGGGGAGGAAAGGTTAGCTAAGGACAGGATAAGATATTATAGGATAGGGTAGGATGGAACGGGACCGGACGGGACAGGACAGGATAGGATGGGATAGGATGGAAAATGATAGGATAGGACAGGATAGGAAAGGAGAAGTTTGGTTTAGATAGGAAAGATAGGATGGGAGAGGGGAGGAAAGGTTAGCTAAGGATAGGATAAGATATTATAGGATAGGGTAGGATGGGAGAGGGGAGGAAAGGTTAGCTAAGGACAGGATAAGATATTATAGGATAGGGTAGGATGGGACGGGACCGGACGGGACAGGACAGGATAGGATGGGATAGGATGGAAAATGATAGGATAGGACAGGATAGGAAAGGAGAAGTTTGGTTTAGATAGGAAAGATAGGATGGGAGAGGGGAGGAAAGATTAGGTAAGGACAGGGTAGGATATTATAGGACAGGACAGGATGGGACGGGACAGGACAGGATAGGATGGGATAGGATAGAAAATGATAGGACAGGATGGGATAGGATAGGAAATGATAGGAGAGGACAGGATAGGAAAGGAGAAGTTCGGTTTAGATAGGAAAGATAGGATGGGAGAGGGGAGTAAAGGTTAGCTAAGGATAGGAAAGGATATTATAGGATAGGGTAGGATGGGACGGGATGGGATGGGACTGGACAGGACAGGACAGGACAGGACAGGACAGGACAGGACAGGACAGGATAGGATGGGATAGGATGGAAAATGATAAGACAGGATGGTATAGAATATGATAGGATAGGATGGAATAGGATAGGAAATGATAGGAGAGGACAGGACAGGATAGGGTAGGATAGGATTGGGTAGGATAGTATGGTATAGTATAGCATAGTATAGTATAGGATAGGAAATTATAGAATAGGGCAAGACAGAAAAGGACAGGATAGGATAGGTAAGGATAGAAGAGGATAGGATAGGAGAGGAGAGCAGAGGAAAGGACTGGTAAGGATAGGACAGGAGATGATAGGGCAGGACTGAATGGAACTGCAGAGGAGAGGAGAAGAGGGGATGGGTTAGGTTAGGTTAGGTTAGGTTAGGAGACAAGAGGACAGGAATAGGATAGGAATAGGATAGGATAGGATAGGATAGGATAGGATAGGAGAGCCTGACTAGACCAGTTTGGGTCAGCTCAGGAGGTGCAGCATGGAAAGGGTTCCTCTAACGCATGCAAACCCTTTCTGACCTATTTTCTACGGAGCGGTGGCCTACAGCAGAGCAGAATCAGCTGTCATGGCAACATGCACTTCACATCTCAGCACCCATCATCATCACCATCATCATTATTATCATTATGATTATCATCATCATTATCAATGGCGCTCCATAGCAAGGGGGAGAAACAAGGGAACATGCCGCTACAGTTCATCTTGTCATTTCTGGGGAGGCTCATGCGAATGAAACAAAAAGGAGGGTGGAGATGAGGCCTAAGAAAAGACTTGGCAGAGCAAATGTAGTTATGTCATGTGTGTGGAGTCATTCTCAGTGTTTTCTCCCTGCTCCTGCTGACACACCACCTCCACCTGAATGCATGGCAGCAGGCAGCGGAGGAGAGATGTGGAAACAAAACAGCGGAGTTGTGACTGTGTGAGAGCGACCAACAAAAAAAAAAGAGGGGGGGTTAAAAACAGAAGGGAAGAGGAAGTCATACTTTGGGCAACGGCGTTTCGGATGACCGGACTTTCTTGGGAGATATCTGTGAAGAGAGCAAGAGAATTATTTTCTTGTTTCCCCCTCTTCAGAGATATCTCCTGTGGCATATTGCTGTTCTCTCTTACAGGACTTATGTGGATGTCTGATCATGTATTTTCCTGTCAGCAGCACCTGTAAGTGGTTCCTCAGAGACTAATACACAAGTTAGCTTGATGATTAATGTTCACACTGGTGCTTTTAGTCTCATTGTTTTAGATTTATTCAAATGCAACCAAGTGCTGCAGTGCTTTATGTCAACTTTCAACATCAAGAATGAGAGATTAGCTTACAAGTGACATGTTTATGGGCCAAGTGTTCTTTGAGTATTATCAAGGTGAATAAAAACGGTGTAAGCAGGTGTTGTAACACACACAGAAAAGGCTCCTAGGTCTCAAAGCTGAAAGGCAGTGGGTCACACATGCAGTATGATGGGACCACAGACAATGGAAGATATATAAAACACCACATTTTAAGCAGTGCCCTTTGAAGACCCACGAGGCCTTGTACAACCTCCAATACCTACAGTATGCAAGAGAAGGGCCTGGAAACATTCATACGTTCTGCTACAACCCAGAAAAAGGTGCACAGAAATACTAATGGTGTGTAAATGGCTATAATTAGCTACATCCCTTTTCAGTGGATCAAATGTGTCGATGTGATATGTTAAGAAGAACCAATGAACAACAACACATCAGAGGAGACACTCAGAAGGTTCAGAGACAAGGGGAGACACACAATCACAGTCACAGCGGAGAGGTAAAAGGGAGAAATCACAAAGACAAATGAAAAAAAGATGAAAAGAAACATCAGTTTGCGTTGGGGTGTCTGAGATTGTGACATATCTAATGGATAAGTCAAATGAGGCAATGTCTTTAAAGCTGCATTAGGCACTTTTTGACCAGCAGGGGGCAGAGAGTCTATGGGTTAATCAAGTGTTTATGGTTTACATTTGTCTACTGACATATACAGCAGACACAGAGCAACATGAGTATCCTATAGTTTGATCTTTACTCTTCACAATGACTACAGCATAGGGCAGTTGTGTTCTACAAACCTTTAATATGTTACAAGATGATAACTGTAAAACTCTGAGGATCATTTGGCAGAGGGACCTACAGTGTGATCTACAATGACAAATGGTTAAAAAATACTACCAAATGGGGTGCCCAGTAGGTCAGTGGGCAGAGCCCCATGCACAAAGACACTGTCCTTGCTACAGCAGCTATGGGTTCAATTCCAGTCTGCAGCATTTTGCTGCATGTCATCCCTGCTCTCTCCCCCTTTCACGCTTAGTCTATCCTATCTCACAAAGGCATAAAAAGACAAAATAATAATCTTAGGAAAACACTATCAAACACCTGGAAATAAGTGGGGGAGGCCGGGGGACATTTTCTCAGTTTAAGTTAATACATAGGTTTTATTTTAAGTCTATAGGATTTTTTTTTTTTTAAGATCTTTTTGGGGGCATTTTAGCCTTTATTTGATATGACAGACAAGTGTGAAGGAGGGAGAGAGAGAGAGGGAGTGACATGCAGCAAAGGGCCACAGGCTGGAGTCGAACCCGGGCCGCTGTGGCAACAGCCTTGTACACGGGGCGCCTGCTCTACCACTAAGCCACCGACGCCCCGTGTAGACAGAATCCGGGATTGACGTAGCCACCATGACGTCAACTATTGGTTTGTGGACTCCTGTTTCGATGCCTCAGGTTTGGCATCTTCACATTGCTATCTTGGACTTTTGGAGCCGGAAGTGACCCAAGGGAACTATATGTGGACGAGAAGGTGGAGCTATGGAAGGGAGGGCGGTGGCCCTAAGTGAGAGCCCGAGGTGGCAGTCTGTAACTCAAAGTGGCCATGACCTTAACTATGCATAACTTAAAGCCTTAATAAAAATGTTAACTGGTGAGTTATATAAAAATTCACCTCCCAAAGAGTTATCATTAAGACCAAAACTGTTTTTTGTATCAGGTTATAAAGCATTTTTTCTGCTGTAAAGTTGGGCATTTTAGCATGGGGTTCTATGAGAAGTGACTTGTTATTGGAGCCAGCCTCAAGTGGCCAAGAGAGGAACTGCAGTCATTGGTACTAAAGTGTTGGCTTCACTTTTCATAAGTGGAGGTTCCTGCTTTATTTACATATAATTTAGGGTGTAAACTTGTTCACCTATTCTAGGAAAGTTCATAGAATACATAGGGAAGTGGTTAGGTTCATAACAGTACTTGTATTGCCAAAATGATACCTACTGGGGTACCAAAAATGTCAAAATATGAGTTTGTAGTGATAAATATAGGATTTATTACAGCTGCCTGAATGATCCCCACATTATGAAGAAATGCATCCTCCCCAGATCTTAAAAAATGGATGGAATTTATGTTTGAAATTGTATCTTATTAACATGTTAGACAATTGAACAAGGTGAGAACTTTAAGAGGTCATGGGACCACTGTTTTTGTTTATAGCATTACTGAGACACTGTGATGATTTGGCTGTATTGCTATGATAGCTAGATATCAACTTTGGTTTATCTCAATATCTGAATTTTCCACAGGCCTTTGGATACTGTACAAGTAATGGTACTTATACTGTCCGTGCATGTTTAAATAAATAAAAACTTTGATTACAAAAATGACGCAGGTCTTTTTTATTGCAGGTATGACATGCTAAAATGTAGTGTTGTATTAGCACAAATATAAAAGAGTAATGAAGTCAGCAAATGGACTCAGTTACATAGTTTAAAATTTGCTTACATTAGTCACCAAAAGCTACAGAACACACAGTATCGGAGCCAGTAAAACTGAAGCAGCTAAACCCCACAGTGCACTGAACTGAGAAAGGGTTCATTTCACTGCTTACGAATTCAACATTTAATTTGTGTTATTTCTTCTGTTAAAATTTATGCAGCCTCTGTGGTTCTCAGTGAGTTCAGCAGTACGAGGGAGTCATTCAATGCTACTTTAATATCACAAAGTTGCTTAATGCAGGTTTAAAGCAGCATAATATTCAAAGATATGACTATAATTTCATACACTAAGGCAATTTGAGTAGTGTGAAGTGGCCAGATGGCACCGGAGAATGATCTATTTTGCCTCAGAAGAAAGACAACAGAACAGAGTGTAACAAGTGGAGGATGGAGGGGTGAGATACAGCGACACTGAAGTGAAACACAGAGTGGGAAGGAAAAGATAGAAAAGTAAAAAGAACAACGGTGGGGACAAAAGGAATGAACAGATATGAGTACAAACAGACAAAGAAAGCAGGGGTGTGGGTGAAAGCTGGGGAGAAGGACAGAGAGTCACAAAGATGCAACAAAGGTGAGGCGAGCAATAAGACAGAATATGATAATGATTTGTCCCCTGTGCTCAGGCTTTAAGCCCTCTGTCCTTTCACACTCTACCTTCATTGGTGCCAGCTGGATGGGGGTGATGTAGGAGGGGTCCACCATGGGCTTGGGGCGGTTGGCAGTGTCCGCCAGGAGGCTCTGCCATTGCTGCGGCAGCCCGGTGAACTTCTGCTCCCGCGGGTCGAAGCCCGTGTGGACCCGGTGTTCAAAGTTAGACGGAGCTGAGATCTCCAGCCGTTTCTTCTTCTTCCCAAACATGCTGGAAAACCCTGGCAAACCTGGAAAACCAAAGAAGATAGCTGTCGATTAACAGTCTGAATGCAACATTGATCGTGATCGATTAAATACAAAAATGAAACCAATGCATTGCATTTATGCCTGGTTCACACTACATGACATTTTTGTCTGTTCCGACAGTCACCATGTCACATTACCCGATTGTGGAGTCATAAAATCGTGCCGTGACTTGGCCGACAGACATGACACACTACATGATGGTCCACACCAATCATCCCCGTTTGTCTCTCACAATGTGTGTGATGTAATTGGATTATTCTTGTCCTGTTTTATTATAATTACTATAATTTCAGTCACTGTGTCTGTTCATGTATCAGCTGCAATGGTGTTGTAATAACGTAAAAAGTGCCACCAGATGGCAGGAGCTACATCTGAAGTACCACATGCAAGTCACTGAATCCTCCACAAGAAGTTCCTGCAAATGTTTCACAATAAAAAATATAAAGATACAGAGGGATTAATAAATAACAGTCCGTTCATAATGTAGTCTGTTTCAAATGAAGCTGGTAGCCTCTGCAGCTGTGGCAAGTAAAAGCCACTATTTTTTAATTTTCTTACTTTATATCTCCATTATAAAGAACATCGTTTGCTAGCTTGATGCTAATGGCAGTATTCAAGGGGATGACAAATTGCCTCTGCTGTTTCACACCATCAATTTTCCCTTTTCACTCTGTGTGGTAATGTCCCTAGAGGAAATATCTAAAAGGCTGGGGTGTCATTGTCGTACAGTTGTCTACAGCAGCAGATCGCTCTGTGTTCCTATTGGTCAAAGTGACGGCTGTGACAGGAGAAGTCATGAACAACAAAAAGAAAATCAAACATGCTGAACTTTCTGTTGGAACGTCGCAAGGTGTCCCAGACGTGGTGTCGGTTGTCGTCTACTATGAAACACTACGAGATGAAATGATGGATTATCACGTACAACTCTTATTGTCGTTCACACTCAGAGCCGACACCATACGATGGGCTGATATCGTGTAGTGTGTACCCGGCATTAGTTTGGACTTTATGCTTAATACTCTTATTTTGAAGGGCAGTGCATGCTCTTGCCTATTCAGATATTTTTTGCACTGTGACCTTGAATGCATTCGTTTATATCTAACTGTATACAGAGGGTGTGACACTACATCAGGTTGAGTGGATGCAGACAAGTGTGTTATTAATATAGTTTGCATCACAGCATCAAACGTGCACTTTTCCTCCAAAGTACAATACAACCTAATGCATGCATTACGTGTTTTGTTGCAGAGCACAAGAAAATTCATTTCAGAATTTTGACATTTAATTACTACGGACTGCTTAAGGAGTTCTGATTAATGCTTAATGGTCCTTCCATGACTTCTATGTGGTGAATGCAGCTGATGGAGTTCCCTCCTGCTAGACTTAACGAACAAACCTCAAAGAGTTCCAGAAAACTTGCCTCTCTCAAGTAAAAGTAAAGAATATTTTGTAGAGATCTGGTGTGCAGCAACACTTGAAGTTGTCTAAATATGCCTGAGGATCTATCGATATCTCCTGAAGCATGTCTCACCAGACTTTCAATCCAATACTGAGCCGTACAGATGGCACACCGTGGTGTACTGCATGGTGAGGAACGTCTACAGCATGAAGGTATTAGCATTTTTATACAACAGCAAACTGCATTACATTTAAAAGCAGGCAATAATGAGAAATATAATTGAACTGATAATCACTATGGTTATTATAAAGTCTTAAGTACAGCAATCAATTAGGCTTTGCTTGCTATGCCTGCAGGCTGCACAGCTGAAGTATCCTACATAAGTCAGACTGATTGGCTGTAACTACCAGTTTGAAGTTTTGCGTTGTGCTGTGCTGTTCTGTACTCTGCTGCTCTGTAGCATGCTTAGCTCAGCCCTCTAATGCTGCAGGATACAAACAAGGAAAGAACAAGCAAAAATGTCCACTTTGGTTACGTAACATAAACATCAGGAAAAAAAACGGATGCACTGAAGCGAAGAGGAAGAGACGATAAACGATGCCAAGTTTGGATTGTTGTTGTTTTTTTATGCAAGGTTTGATAGGGATTTAGATATGAAGCTACGGCAGCTGCTCCTGCTTGTGCTTTTACTCCAGCACCGAGAGAAACTGTTTGGAAATCCTGTTGTGGTATTGGTGGTTTGGGCGGATGCATGATGTCCAATCATAGGAACAAAATGTCATGATGTTGCTGGTGTGGCTGTGAATGGACTCTATTGTGTCGCTCCTTTCTAGGAGGCATTGTCCTCGGAGGAAAACAAAGTCATCCTTCTTCCTCCTCCCCCGTCTTATTTTCTGTCTCTCCTTCTGTTTTGGCTTTTGCATAGATAATGTTTGCTGTGCCAGTCCACACCAAACATTCATTTATTTACATAGGTGTGTAGTACGTGTGCACTGTGCACAAAACAAGCAGGAAACCCTCACTTAAGTGAACACATAGGAAGGTCTCTGCAAAACCACTTGAGACTTTACTGTCTAGACTGTCTTAGAGAATAAAAGCATATGGTGCCCCTGTATATGAAAACATACATTAATTTTTCATTTGCACAGGCTGTCATAATAACTTGGAGAAGACTGTGTAAGTAAACAAAAGTGGCTTCTCGTTTAGCCGACAACCTGGGACAGCTGTGTACGAAATCACTCACTACTCATTATATATTGAGTTTGCCATTTTGTAGTGCTGTCTGAATGTATACTGAGAATTATTTTACCCTGTATAGAGGGCTCAAAGTATCCACAATGCACAACTGATGATCACTAACCAAGCAACATATCCCATCATGCACTGCACTGAAGGAACGTACAGATTGTTTGAGACGGACACAAGTGTAAAAGCCACTTAAGCACATATTCATATTTGGTAAAAACTTCTGTGTCGATATGACATATCATTCAGGTTCTGACAGTATTTTAGTTTACACAACTTTCTGTATATGTTGAATAGTGTTTCCCTGCCTCATGTGAGTACTGTGGATCTTCAGAAAAGGAACAGAAACATGAGTAAAAACCAAGACTCCTTATAAACTAAGTGGCCTAGGAACTGTGGTTATGTTGAAACACCAACTGCAAGAAGAGATGGACAAGAGCAGAGAGAGCAGCTTGACTGCAACCTGTTGTACATGTTTAATTTTTGATGATATGGTGAAGTTTGTTTTACCATTTCTTAACAGGCATTTTTCAAACAGAACCTGTGACCCCACAAAAATAATGTAGATACCAATGATGTGTCCTTTGCCTTTGGAAGTAACACTACAGTAGGTTACTACTGTAGGTAGTAAGCTAATTAAACTAGCCAGGCATGCTAAGATTTAAAAGTTAGGTCAGAACAGATAAACGCGCTGTTTATCCATTTCCTCTAACGTGTCTTTTTGTATAGACTAACCTGGAAATGAGTTAGCATTTTGCCGATCACACTTCCCTCGTCTTTAAATCAATGGGTTTTTTGAGCGGGTTTTTGGTTAGATGCCTGAAATAAGGTCTGTGGTTAACACAAGCTTATGAGACTTTCACGTTTTGTACTAGCTCTCTAGTTCTTGTTCGTTTTGTTGTGGCTAAATGAGACTACAGAACGTCATGATGCCAATTCGCGTCGAACAAGGCTATACAGTCTTGTTAAGGAGGTGACGTTACGTCATGTTACCGTAGTGTAGTTCGTTTATAGCCTAACGTTAGCTTTTTACTTCTAGCGATTGCATTAAGGTTTCAATAGTTCATTTTCGGTACTAATCCAGAGTCCAATGGAAAAATCCCATAGGCGTTTTTGATGAGGGAACCAAAGCCATGCTAAGTTTCATGTTGGCCGACAGAGCTATCCCCGGAGCACCCTATAGTTATTATAGTTTTGTATTTTCCATTATAATTTTTTTTATTTTATATTTAATTGTTTTTTCCAAGTCAGCTTAGTTTCAGTTAGTTTTGAGGGGTTTTTTTTTTATTTATAATTTTTCAGTTTTAGTTTAGTTATTAGGTTCAGTATAACTTTCAGTTATATCAACATCCCAGTCTCAAAAAACACATTCACAGATGCCTCCTTTTTTCCCTAGCTGTGTGAGTACAAAACATCCTTTCAGTTTGTTTTTGTGCTTTTCTTGAGTCTAGTTTTTAGTTTAGTTTCAGTTATCTATAACAACTTCTCCATGCATACCACTTTAAAATGCGTATGTGTCTATATGTGTATGAAAATCAGCAGAAGATTTAGCAAACAATCAGTTGTTGAATTAGAGACAACAAACACGCTGGTTGGTTAAAATGTAAAATGTGAATGAAGTCAGTTCTAGTTGTGAAAATGATGAACTCTTTTGTCTTGGCAGTACCTCCCGCGTAGCTGCAATGACAGAAGTCACCAAGGAGTCTATTTCTAAATGTAACTTCAAACAGGCAAAGCAAAAAATTTAATCATAGAAATCTCTCTCAATTATTTCCTTTGCTGCCCCGCAGGAGAGCCAGACAGACCAAATTAGTGGCCTAAAACAGGAAAGATGGAGAGATAGACTGATGGGAGAAGGAGGGAGAGAGGAGAGGGGATGGGTGGAGGCAGAAGACGAGAACAGCAGCAGAGCACGGTGGGAAAGTTAAAGGGAGACAGAGAAATTAACGGATGAAGAAAAGAGATGAGACAAAAATGTAAAGAGTCACGCAGGGAGGATAGAAGCTGAGCAGGCTTAAGGCTTTTGTGATACATACAGCAGCACAATCATAGCACAACAGATTATTATGCAGCACACTGCTGCCTTTAGAAAGCTCAATACTGGATCAAAAAGGTGTTAAGTCATAGATAGAAACCCTGTGCCACAGGCATGTTTACACAACTCTGCTTTCTACGCTGCATTCACTGTCAGCCTCAGGTTTACACTGTAAAGACCCAGGGATGTATTGCACCAGTGTGAGTAAAAATATGCCTGTTTTTTGGTAAAAAGAAAAGATAGAACAGGTTTATGTAGAAATTAAAGCAAATCATTTTAAAATTATCACAATGTAATCTTAA